GCTTGGGTCCTTGCTCTGCCACTAACCAGCTCTGTGACACGGGCACGCGTGGCTTAACCTCTCTGGGCCTGTTTAGTAATCTGTGAAATGGGGATGATGGTAACGGTGAATTTTTGTGAGATTTAAATGAGATAATGAATTCATGGGACTTAATGCAGCACACAGGTCACTGCTGGTGCTTAATAAATGTTCCATTTAAAAACAAAAAATAAAAACAAGCCCACAAGTTCCCCCGCTTGCATTCTTGGAGTTGCTGCTTGTTATCACATGGGCTGCTGTGACCTCTCCTTCAGGAATGACCTCCTTGTCTTCTTCCGGGACCCCTCCTGGCTGCGGCAGCTGCCTGGGCCTCCCTCAGGACAAAGCTCACCCCGCGGAGCATGCCCCTTCTGTGCGTTCTCTCCTGGGCGTCGTCCCCCATCTCTCGTTGCTCGGCCAGGCCCCGCCCCCAAGCCTAGCCCTGGCCTCCCCCACCCAAGGCCCGCCTCAGCTCTGGGCAGCAGTGTTGGTTCCCAACCACATGAAGGAGGCACACGGAAAAGCCATAAACCCGAAGGCTGAGAGGGATGTTTGTCAAAGCAGGACAGATCTGTGGCCAGGGCCATGGAGGGCGTGTGCTGGGACCTGAGCGGAAGCGGGCATTTTGGGGAGAGGGGATGAGCACCGAGGAGCTGGTGTGGGCAGGGCAGGAAGGAGGCCCATTAACACTCAGGCCGACCGTGCTTCCTCCGGCACCTCGGCCAGGGCGCACACAGACGCATTGTCCCGCTCTCACTGTGGCCCTGTGTTCGGAGCAGCCCCTGCCCCCCAGCCCCAGGTGGGCGGTGTTGCCTGTGCACAGATGCCCTTTATGAATGGGCAGTGCTGGAGGAAGGCAGCTCCTCCTTGGACCCGAGCCGCCCCTGAAGTCAGAATTGAACTTGGAGCCTCCTCCCTTCTGGCAATGTAGGCTCACAGGCAGCCTGGTCACATGGGGAGGAGGGGCCCCCACACATTGGGTACATCCCAGGAGAAGGCAGCTAGGTTTGGAAGTGTCCCTCAAGTGACCCTTCCCTCCAGGGCCCATGCTGGGGGATGGTCCCCTCACCTTGTCTGCTGCCACCTCCTGGGGCTGAAGTAGGGGATTTTCAACTCCTTCAGGGGCTCTAGGGGGAGGAGTTGCCTTGGGGACCACAGAGGAGAGAGAAAGCCAGACTCCAGTGATTCCACAGTGCCCCACCTCCACCATCGCTGGGGGCGTGGAGCCTTCAAACATCCAGGGACAGACAGCCTGACCATCCCAACCACCCCCTCCAGGGCACCCAGTCTCTGTGAACCTGGAACTGAATTCTTAGAGGGGTCCCTTGGTGCTCCTCCTAGGGCCAGTGGGTACCAGAAGTCACACATCTCACAGACACAGCCTCCCGACAGGTCCCCGATCACAAAGATCCTCAAGCCCCTCTCCCCCTGCCCCTGGCCCACCTTGTCTTTTGCCCATTTAACCAATCAACAGGTGCAGGCACATGCTGGCTGCCTGTGGGCGCCCCCTAGAGATGGCCCAAGGACCTGCATCCCCTTCCCATCCCCCCAAAGGGAGGGTCAGACTGACTTGTTTCTCTCCTGGGAGGAGAGGGGAAAAGGAAGGGAGCTTGAATGCTGAGTGCTGTCCCCTATGGCCAAGACTGCAGGCTCACCCTGGGTGCAGTGACCCCTTTCTGTAGATATCCTGTCCTCCTTTTATACACGGGAGCTGGGGAGGCAGAGGCCCTGCCCTCTGGGGTTTGCAGTGTAGCCGGGAAGACTCCTGAGTGTGAGACGGATCCACCTGCTTGGGGGAGGGGCACCTGGGGTGACTGAGCTGAGTCCGGCCTGGTGGTAGCTGGTGGGCCCTGTGCTCCTGGTGCCCTTTCTCTGTGATGGGCTCTGGGTGCTGGGTGGACCGGGGTGAGAGGGGTAGGAGGGAGCAAAGCCCTGTCTTCACTCCTTTTCTAGGCCAGGTGCTCAGCCTGATGAGCTTCCCTACCCCCTGGAGAGGCCCTGAGAATGTGACACTGATCCCGACCACAGCCACCAACTGTGACTCAGGCCGTCTTTCAGCTGACGGCCAGGCTGAAGGAAATGTGCCGCTGGCCTCAGTCACAAACCCAAACCCTTTCACAATCTGCAGTCCGGGGCCAGGCTGGCTGCCCAGGCACAGACCGCCCCCTCCCCAGCGCCCTCACAAACACCGGCAGAAACACTTCCTCCACGCCCAGCCCCCGCTCCTCCACAACGCGGATGCCCGTGTGGACACATCTCCGGCACAACACACCCCGCCACCCTTGCCCAGTCCTTTGTGGCACAGGCAGATGACGCAGACACCTATGCCTGTCCCCAAAGCCGGTGAATGCAGAGCGCCCGCCACCCCATGGAAACTTGCCTCCAACCACAACCTCCCAGACCTCTGTATGCCACTGCTTGCTTCATAGATACACCCTCCTGAACTCAACCACACTGAGGAGCTCGCAAACTCAGAGACACCCAGCATGTCAGAGACTCTACCACACCTGTGTGCACAGGCACCCAGTCCCGCACTCCTCAGACACAGCCCACACCAGAACCCTGAGCCAAGCCCCTCCTCTCCCCCTCACTGCATCAAGGTATGTGTGCTGAGAGACCACTTATTTGTAGTTCATGGATTTTGAAAGGGGTGTGTGTGTGAGAGAGAGAGAGAGATGGCTAGAGAAACTTGAAAATATGCAGACAAGCAAAGTGGAGAGGAAGAGAAGGAAGGAAAAGCTCTGTGACTCACTTCCAGTTTAACAATGCCACATCACAGCTCCCCAGCCAGGGGGAGAGGCCCGCTTGTCAACACAGCGGGACCTGGCTGTGGGATGGTAAGTGAGGTCCCGTCCCCAGGCCTATCAGACCAGGAGGAGGGGACTCCCTCCAGACACAGTCGCCCTTCCCTCCTCTGTACCTGGGGGTGTGAACTCAGCACCCCACCTTCCCCACACCTGTATCCGGACCTCGGGGACCTATCTCTGGGTCCCTTGGCTGCACTCCCCACTGCTGACCAAACAGAGCCCCAGAGCCCTTGTTTATCCTCCCTGTAATCCTGAGGTCAGACATTCCCATGTGACTCACAGCCCAGCCTATCACTCGGGTTTCTAGGGTTCTCTATGTGCCACCAGCAGCTCACCAGGAGCCCCTCCAGCTGTGCTCCACCTGTGCCCCCTGCCTGCAGTGCCCCTCTGCTCCCCCGTACTGATCCTCTCCAATGTCCAGGTTCCAGCTTCTCCCCGAACACTGTCTCCTGGCCCTGAACTCCTCCAGCCCCCACCACGGTTTCCATTCCTTGTTTTCTGGGTGGTAAGCCTCCCTGTTGCACTATGAGTTCCTGAAGCGCAGGTTCTGAAATTTCTTCTTGTGCCTCCAGAACTCCAACCTGCCCTCCCCTCCCCGCCCCCCAGCAGGGCCCTGGAACTAGCAAGGTCTTGAGGGATGGACGGTAAAGGACTAGAAGGACAAAAAAGGCCAGGGGAGCTCTTCTTGGGTGTCTGCCCACTAGGTAACTGGTTTCCCTTTGGACTGGAATCTCCTGGACGGGAGCCCTCCCCATTCTGCAGCTCATAGAGGCTGGGTCAGTGAGGGAGGATTTCTCACTAGGCCCCCCCTGCCCCACTGTGAGGGCCCAGAGAGCAGAACAGGGCCTTGCCTACGGTAGGTCTTGGAGCCAGGCCTGTGCTAGCTTTTTTTTTATGAGCTTGCTTATCCCACAATAGCCCTGTGACGTGGGAGCTCCCAGCCTCAGTTTACAGCTGAGGAAACACAGGCTTCGGGAGGCTGGCGAACTGCCCAGGTCACCCAGCCGGTGAGCAGCACACCCCAGAGCCTGAGCTCCCTGCATGATCCTGCCCTACCCCACTGCCCCTGTCCCTCAGCCGTCCCTGCCTCTGTCCCCAGTTTGCCCTCTGTATCTTGCTGGTCTCTGACGTTGAACACTTGCTCTGTTTTATCTGCCTGATACTCTGCCTATTTTTGCCCCTGTCCTTCCCTCAAGCCCCCACCCCTCTGTCTGACTGCCTCCCCTTTAACTCGCCCCTGGAGCAGAGTGAAATTTGCCTGGGGTTGAAGACAGTTTTGCTTCTCAGAGGGAGCCAGGTTTCGCACTCACTTTGGCACATGGAAGTCTTTTCTTAAATCTGGGATGAGAAGCTAGACAGAGACCCGTCCTTTCCCCTCCACAGCACCACCAGGGACTGTGCACGTAAGAGGGGCTCCTCATCTGCTCGTTGCTCTCGTTCTGACTCCCTGTTGGGCACACTCATACCAATACACACACACACCCGCAGCAGACCTGTCTTCCCAGCCTACACAATTCCCGTTGCAAGTGGTGATGGAAACAAGAGCAGTGCATGCTGGGAAGTGCACGGGGCAGACTATTCTGTGGCACAGACTCAAGTGCGCGATCCCAGCCTGCAGATAGCGTGTAATTATTTGGTAATAAATCACATTCCAAACCCCAGCCAGCTGCCCCTGGCTTTTTTTCCCCTCTCTCCTGTGCTCCTTGCCAGACCCGCAATGTCTCGGCATTGGATGTGAAGTATGGTAGTGATTTTTCTGCCTAACCAAAGTCAAGGCTGATTCCTCGATGAGTTCAGTTTCCCTGGAAGATAAAGACTGCCCGAGGTTCTTGTGTTTTGATGTTATGGAGGGATGGTTTCCAGGGAAGGGAGGGGATGAATAGTCTTTGGAAGGGGAGGCTCTACTCTTTGCCACAGTGGGGCTTTGGGTGACCCAGTTAGGAGTGGTTAGCGCAGCGGGGGATGGACCTGACCCACGCTGTGCGGCCTTTGTGACACAGACTCGGGAGCACAGGCCTGGCAGGACTGTACTTCACTGTCCCCTTGAAGTTAGTGTGGTCGAGCGGCTTGCTTTGGCCGATGAAATCTGAGTAGAATGACACATGCCATTTGCAGGTAGCAACAGAGAGAGCTAATATATCAGCTGTCATATGCCTTCTCGCTGCCGTGGTGACAGTGAACAGCGATGTTGGTAGGAGCTTCCTGCAGCCGGGGTCCGGAGTGAGGACAACATGGTTCAGAGGCCCCCAGGGGACCTGTGCACCTCGTCTGGCACAGAGAGAAGGAAATACGGTTGGAAACACTGAAGTGTCGGGATGTTTGTTACCATAGCACGTTCTGCCTGGTACGTCTACCCTATAAGGGGGATGAGAGGATTCGTAAAATAATGCACGGGTGGCGCTGAACAGGGTGTCCCCCAGCATGCCGCTTCCCCTTCTCCCTTCTCCCTCCCCTCTTCCAACGCTGTTTCACTTGGTATGCAATCTGAACCACGTGTACCCAGGCCCATTAAGTGCCTGGTACAGGAGCACAGAGATGGTCTGGGCGACAGATACGTGTGTACGTAGCTGTCACATGATGCCCTGAGTGCTCCTTTAGGGGTGTGAGTCCAGAGCGGGGTCAACCCAGGGGAGGGAGTCGTAAGTCCACTGGGGTCCTCGAAGGCGAAGTCTGAACTAGGCTACTGAGGAGTCGGTTTGATCTCTTCGGGCAGAGCAAAGAGAAGGCGTGTTCTAGCAGCGAGAGCAGCTGCCGTTCACGCAGCGTGCACTCTGAGCCAGACCCCGAATCAGACCCTTCAGCCAGCTCTCCCCGCTGCCAGAGCAACAGTGATTTCTGTGATGGGTGTCCTGCTGTTCTCCCATTCTACAGATGGGAGAAACCAAGGCCAGTGAGGTCGCTGAGCTCCCCCAAGGTTGGGCAGCTGGGAAATGGCAGAAGGTGTGTGAAGATGCAGAGGTGTGGCAGCTCCTAACTGGCCTCCAGCCGGGTGCCTCTGGAAGGGCTGCCTTACACTCCAGAGACCTCATCGGTCTGAGAATGCATCCCTGCTCTGCAGTGTGGCCTGAGGGCAGTTTCCCAAACAGCTCTTACGAAGCCCTGCCCCTGTGCATGGACCTTGTGTGGTGGCCCACTGCGTTCTGGACAAGACCTGGTGGTCTGGCTGGCCACTCCGGGTCCCTCCCAACCTTTCCAGGACTGTCTCTGCTGCGCTCACTCACATTCCCAGGGTTCTTGTCTGAGCCTGAGCATTCCTCCTATGTTCTGCCTGTTGGGTTTTGCTCAAGCATTTGATTTAATCTGGCTTGAACGACAGGACATGCAGACATTCACTAATACTTAATAGAGAGGCTTTCAGTCATACATGTGCATGATTTATGGATCCGTATCAGTAGATCAAAGTTGTGTGCTTAGAGCTGTTTCTACTGATCTCAGCACACAGACAAACAAATCTGGAGGCTGCTGCCGTGTAGGGACGTGGCTGAGGTCTGCCATGTGCTGGTCGGGTGACTTCGGCAGGTGGCTCTGCCCCTCTGAGCCCGAGCTTTCCTGTGTGTCAACAGGAGTAATCTCGGTTGCGACTCCAAGGCATCAGCGAGGGCTCACTGAGATAAAGCCTGTGAAGGAAACACCTCCGAGGTGTGTCCTGAGTGCCAGCCCGAGGAGGGGGCCTGCTGGGTGGGTCTGGGCTGTGGGGGGTCACAGCAGAAAAGGTGAGGAGGCAGGGTCTGAGGGGTGGCCCCTGCTCACGAGGACTCTGTGGCCTTGGCAGGCGGGGTGGAGGCAACCCCAGCGGCATTTGATAAAAGGCGGGGGCTCTTCTCAGGTCAAGTAAATATTACTATAAGAAGAGGGCGTCTCCAGGGAACGGCTCCCTCTCGCTCCCCCCTTGAGGGCCAAAGTCCCCAGGGGCCAGTCTGGAGGCTCCTTTTATGTGACTGTAAAATAATCCAGGGCCTGGCAGGGTCGAGCCTGGGCGGGCACGGATGCGCAGGTCGGTATTGATGTGGTCAATGATTACCTTTTATGCCTGGCCATAAAGGCAACCGCCAGGCCCCCGGACAATGTCCCCTCCAGACAATGCCCTGCAGGGCGGGTGGACACACACACACACCTGCTGGGCGAGGACCTGTACCCCCTTGAGGTCTCTGAGGACATCCTCGCCAGGTGTCTTTAACTCCCCTAGGAGGTTCCTGGAGACTTGACCCAGGAACTAAGGGGGTCTGGGTGGCGGTAAGGGGGGCCCAGTGAGGTGTGAGACGCAGAAGAGCTACACCCAGGGCCCTGAATCCTGCTCCGGGTGGGTCTGGGCAGAGGAGGAGGGGTGGTCACTTCAACTCAGGTACCGGTCTCAGCGGGAAGGAAGGTATTCTGGGACGGAGAAAGGTCCAGTCCCATTTTACAGGTGACACTGTTGAAGTCTGGGTGTATGAAGTGACTTGCCCAGGGTCCTGAGGGAGAGGACAGCGGCTGAGCTGAGAGTTGAACCCAGGTCCTCTTTGATGTTGCTGGACCAAGGGTATCCACGTGGGAATGGCAGGATCAGGAGGGTTTACATCACTTCTCAGAGAAGCCGTCTCCCCTGAGGCGGTGAAGGGATCAAGGAAGGACCCGAGGGCCCGTTTCTGAGGCTAAAGTTGCCATCAGACTGGCCATAAAGGCAGTAGGAAGGGCCTCTCCCAGCTTTCCCAGGCCCCTTCACGGCCCTATCTCTCCCTACCCTAATGGGGAGTGGGGAGGCTGCCTGTGAGGGGGCAGAACTGGGGCACAGAGGGCAAGATTACAATTCTACCTTTTGGGCTGATAAGGCCCAAGACGCTTAGTCCAGCTGGAGGAGCAGGGGCTGAGGCCCCTGGTTGGGGTCCTGGCAGCTTCAGGTACCCAGGGCATCCCTGTAGGGCCCCTGAGGCTGGAGAGTAGGGGGCCTAGGCCCCTGCCCAGCCAGCTTTGCTGGGACGCCACTTTCCTTGCCTGGCCAGGGGGAGAACTCTGTGCTGTCTTCTTGGTGGGCAGGGTGGGGACTGAACCCAAGGCTCCACGGGGCAGCTCTCAGACAAGCCAGGCTGCTGTGTTGAGGAAAGAGGGCTGTTATTAGCAGTGGTCATAAACGCTCTGCGGAATCCCCTCGTGGAGTTGCTTTGAGACTGGGCGAGAATGTTCCAATCAACCTTTGGCTCTGATAAAGATAAGTGGACCCAAAGCGATAACACACAAAGCAGAAACTGTCAACACTCGCTAATTAGGGTACTGGGTGCTGAGCCACACCCATTGCACCTGACCTGCGGAGAAGTCTCAGGTGGGGGAGTGGGGCTCGATCTGGGCGGGGGAGGCTATGGGCTCATTGCCTGTACCTGACTGAGCCTTAAGGCCTTTTTGTCACCTTCTCCTTCCAATGACTTCCCCACCGCCACCCTCAGCCTATACCCCTGCCTACATGACATTACATAACAGAGCACGAAAGAAAAAAATACAGTCAGACATTGTGCAACCTGACATGGTGAGCATGATGTAACCGTGGAGGAGTCCTGAGCTGGGTGCCAGGAGCCCAGTTCTAGCCTCACTGGGCAAGACCTTGAACCAGTTGTTTCTTTTGGACCTCAGTCCTCTGTTCTGTAAAATGGGGGAAGGGGTGGAAATGGCGCAGTTATACAGTAACGCCCCGCTGGGGTCCTGCTAGGTCTAAAGTTCACGCTCTTCTGCTGCAAAACACGGCAATCTGTGAAGCACACAAAACATAGCTGGTACCACCCAGCAACGCTGGGCTGTGTGTGGCACTCGACAGAGTTGCGTGTGTCTGCAGGGCAGGGAGGCCGTACGGAGAGCTACAGGGCGCAGACGGTCCTCAGGGCCCCTGCAATCCATCTCCCTGTCTGAGCCAGAGGTCACTGTGCTTGCTGCCTGCCCTAGGGCACTCAGGGTCTATTTTTAACTCAGTGCCCCTTAAATAAACGTGGCCTTGGCTCGATGGTTCCTTTCCCTCCGACTCCGCACCTCCACCCGTCCAAGTGTTCACACATACTGAAGTGGCCACTCAGAGGTGACCAAGGTCTCGAGTCTAGGCTGGGCCCCTTCAAACTGGGGGAGTTGCTGTGGGGGGCACCCTGCACTTCTCCCAGGTCCAGCCCATCACAGATTCTGCTTCCCTTTAGCAGTGCCCAGCCCGAGAGCGGGCAGAAGCTGCCACTTTTCTTGGGAACGGTAGGAAAGGCGAGAACAGGGTCGGCCAGGGATGGATGCCAGGGTGAGGAGAGGGGAGGAAGTGGCTGAGGAAGGAAGCGGAGGGACTTGAGAGAGGAGTGGGGCCCTGACGGTCCTTGCTGTGGCTCACTTCTCCAGGCAGCAAGGAGTTACCTGCACTGCCTGCCTGCCAGACGCAGTGCTGGGCCACAAGGTGGTGACTCAGACCCAGGCCCGCCCACCAGCTCTCACAGAGCTCCAGACAGAGGACAGGGCTAACGTCAATGCCTGGGGCCTGAAGTCACTGCAAGGGATAGTGGCTCTAGGCTGCAGTGGTTTCTCCTGAGGGGAGCAGGGGGCAGGCGTGCAGTGAGGAGGAGAAGGGAGAGTCCCAGGATGGTGGGCGGAAATGCATCATTCCTTAACCTCTCTTGGTTTCAGTTTCCTCATCTGAACAGTGGGTACAATTAATGGCACTTTCTCATAGGCTTCCTGTGAGGTGTGAGGGTCAAAGGCAGAAGGATGTAAAGCTCTTACTCCAGGGCCTGGCCAGCAGTAATGCGTAAGTGTTGATGTGTTGGCTGCTGGTTTTATGGTCAAGAGCATAAGGAAGAAGGGCATTTCAGGCAGAACCTTCAACCACATGTACGTGGGGGCAAAACCCCAAAACACGAAAAAAAGAAAAGAAAACAATCTGACCCTGAGCTGAGCAGTCTGCAGACCCTGGGAAGTCGTGGGGAGCACCACGTGTTCGGGGGCAGGCATAGGTGCAGGGAAGGTGTGCAGGGGCCACTCAGTAGTCACCGAGTTCAGCTGAGGGACAGTGAGGCCCAATAGGGAAGACCTTATTGGGAGAGTCCCTGACACTGGGCCACCAGGGCTAATCTCATCTTCCAGGGGTTGAGCTGGGGGCCCAAGGCTCTGTGGGTCTCTGATACTCTTTCTATGAGGCCAGAGTGGGGGCAGGGAGGAGACCTGGAGGGGTTGCAGAGGAGGAACCGGGGGTAAGTAGTGTGTGTGTGTGCATGTGTGTGTGTGTGTGTGTGTGTGTGTGTGTGTGTGAGAGAGAGAGAGAGGGAGAGAGAGAGAGAGAGAATTGTAGGTTGTAGGTCGGGGGCATATACCAAGGGGCAGGGCCTCCAAGTAGCCAGAATTTGTGGCTGTTCT